TTCAGGGCTTCGGGTAGAGGCTTTCGGGGTTTAGGTTTTAGGGTTCAGCGCTTAAGTTTTGCAAGTAAGAGTTTTGGTGTTACTTTGAGTCCTTGCCAGGAGATCAGGACCTCGGGTTGCGTTTCGGATTGACGGTGCAGTGTAGCTGTTTCATGTTGAGATTGCAGTGGTCATGGTCATCAAGACGACGAGTGCTCGAGTGAAGGTTTAGAGAGGCAGGAACACCACAAAGATGGATGAGAAGGGCCATGATGGTTGCGGTTCTGGCCACGAAACCCTAAACCCTAAACTCTAAACCCTAAACCCTAAACCCTAAACCCTAAACCCTAAACCCTAAACCCTAAACCCTAAACCCTCGGGTCGCCGCTTCCGTCGTCATCTTCGTCGTCGGGGGTTTTCCTAGCCCCAGAAGCCCAAGTCCGAGTCTTCAGTCCGCTCTTCCAGACTTCTAAACCCTAAACTTGCCCTAAACACTACTTCCTGATTTCGTTTCTCCAAGGACTGCAAGACCCTAAACCCCAAACCCTATACCCTGAGTTCGTTTCTCCAAGGACTACAAGACCCTAAACCCTAAACCCTGAGTTCATGTCTCCAAGGACCGCAAGACCCTAAACCCTGACCCCTAAAGCCCCTATTTCCTAAGTTCGTTTCTCCAAGGACTACAAGAATGCAGGCGTTCTCGGCGTCCCAAACGGCAGCACCATGACTCCCGGTGAAGGCGGGACCGTCAGACCCGGAGCCCTTGTTCTATCACAATATATTCTAGTATACTAGTATAGTATATTAGTATAGTATATTGGTATAGTATATTTAGTGTAATATATTAGTATAGTACATTGGTATAGTATATTCAGTATAGTATATTAGTATAGGATATTGGTATAGTATATCATATAGCAGAACCCACTGCATGATAACATATCATAGCTTTCAAAGTAGAATATCTAGTTCCTTACCAGGGTCTGAGGAACCCGGTCTCGGATCTTCGACGATGTCTGCATGCTGTTTAGATCTCAGGGTTCAGCTTCGAGGATTCAGATTATTGGAGGATTGAGGGTGGGTCTTGGGGCTTTGGGTTCAGGGTATGTGGATCAACGGAGATGTTGAATCCCAGATCCAACTTGGCACTGAAGTCCTGAAAACGCCAAGGCATGAAATTTAGGATGATTTCCAGCTGCCAGGCCGCAATCGCAAGCTCAACTCTGAGATTGCCAACGGGCGGCTGGCGATGATGGCCCCCTGCCGGCTTCAGAGTGTGGGGTTGAACGGTTTAGGTTTCGGGCAGTCCTCTTATGATACGGCAAGCAAGAGCCTAGCCCAGTCAGAGCTCAAAAGTTTCACATCTGCGAGACCCCGCACCGATCTTCGTATTTTAGGTTACCCTAAACCCTAAACCCTAAGGGCAGAGGCTCAATGCCCCCCAAAGCAGACAGAGGCTCGCACTCCAAGCCGAGCCCCAAACCCTGAACCCTGAGACCATACCAAGCCTTGAGCCCTGTGAACCAAGGCATATCTTGGGTTTAGGGTTTAGGATTTAGGGTGTAGGGTTTAGGGGTAAACACGAAAAAGTTGGAAACCGGGTTAAGGAAAATTAGTGCTGGGATTCCCTATACATTATATGCATTACTCTTGAGGATTGAGGCTATTGGGTTTCCAACTTTTGGGCTTCGACTCTAAAGTTTAGGGCTTAGGAAGAAAGGCTTAGGCTGGATGTCGACAGTTCCAGGGGTTTGACAGAAGTTGCAGTGCTAAACCCTAAACCCTAAACCCTAAACCCTAAACCCTAAACCCTAAACCCTAAACCGGTCCCCTGGAGCCGTTGCTGAGACAGCCATGACGGCAGGATGCTTTAGCCACGGAGCGATGTCGGAGTATAGAGGCGGTCGGAAGA